AGAGATGGTGGTGCTAGTCACAGATGATGGACAGATCCYGGGGAGTTTGTGCAGAGGTGGCGAAATGGAGATTATGTAGCAAAGAGGGGTCAAGAGGTGGCAGGAGAACCAGAAGAGGAGTGTCAGGACAACATCCAAAGAGAGCAAAATGTTTCAAACGCGAGGGGCATCGCAGTGACAAGGGATGTGGAATTTAAGACGCCTGGAAAAGCACACATTCGATAGGGAACAACAGATCATCAGTGACCCCACCAAGGATCCTTAGGGGAGTGTCTGGGGCTGATGCTGGTTTTTATTTTAGGGGAATGGAAACTATTTCTTTAAGAAACAAGGTGGACTGGGGATGTAGCTTAATGGTAGAGCACTTGGTTAGCATGCTCGAGGCCCTGGGTTCAAAAAAGAAAAGTGATAGTGCCTGGTGCGGTGATGCACGTTTCTAATCCCAGCTGCTTGGGRGGCTGAGGCAGGAGGATGGGAAGTTTGAGGCCAGCCTTAGCAATTTAGCAAAACCTTATCTCAAAATGAAAAATAAATAAATAAATAGAAGGACTGGGGATACAGCCCAGTGGTGGAGCACTCCTGGGTTCAATCCTCAGCGCACCCTCCCCCTCCCCCCAAAGAAAGAAACATGCTGGTGAAGGGGAAGAGGAGGAGAGTAAACTTCCAATATAGCAAATTAACTTCTTGGATCTTTTCCTCTTTTTTTTTTTTTTTTTTTTTTTTCAGTTTAATGACACACAGCCCGCCAGCCACGTGGACAGGGCTGAGCGGGGCCATCCACCATGGAAATATTTCTAGGTCTCCTCAGAGATTCAGTGCAACAGCAGAGAGCCCTCTAAAGATCAGGGGTGGCTCTGTTTGGAAAGGGGAAGCAGTGATCCTTCTGATGTTCCTGTCCCTTTGGGCTTCAAATGAACAGCATGCAAATGAGCACCTGGCTGTGAGTCAGCAGTGAGTAACCCCTCTGCTCTGTGGGATGCTGGGCCTGTGGCATACAAGGCCTCCCTGGCTCCCCTGCAGCCGGGAGAGCTGCTCAAGGCAGCCTCTGTGCCCCGAWCCTGGCCTTGGCGGGAGTCACCCCTCCCAGACACAGCTCTTGGGTCAGACCAGCTGTTTGCTGCACCTGCCCAGGCTGGTGGGCTCAGTCGATGAAAACTGCTTTACCTGCTTCCTATGGCCTGGGTCCTCYGTGTCATACAGTAATTCAGAAACTTCGATATTCATTTATTAGTCAAGTATGATGGTGCACACCTGAAGTCCCAGCAACTTGGGAGGCTGAGGAAGGAGGATTGCAAGTTCAAGACCAACCTCAGCAACTTAGTAAGGACCTATCTCAAAATGAAAAATAGAACGGGCAGGGGATGTAGCACAGTGGTAAGCACCCCTGAGTTCAATCCCTAGTACCACTACTAAAAAAAGAAAAAAAAAATCATTTATTAGGTGACCCTGCCTGTGAAACTGATTTATGCTAACTCAACTGTGACAAGGACATCCCTGAAAAGAAAAAGCAAATGTAGTTATTTACATTCAAATATATATAGCTGCCAAGGAGCTGAATTGCTCTGACCAGCTGGGTAGCTCCGTCTGTTCCCAGGAGGGAGGGTCCCCAAAGGAAGCAAGACACACAGCCTACCGCTTGGCTTGGAGCCTGAGGAGAGTGGAGTACCAAACCAGCTCTGGGAACYGGTACCAGGAAGACCCTTGGCAGCTGCCAGGCAGGATTCCTGCCTCCAACAGGACAAGGACATACTGCCACCTAGCACACCCAGAAAGCCTGCCAGCTGCTTCATGTCCTTCCAGCCTCCTCGTCTCCTTCCAGCCTCCCCTATGAGAATAGTTGCTGAATGACCCAATGGGTCTCCTCCATTCCTTCTCCACACAGGTTTTCATTGACTTTCTTAGATGACTGTTCCTTGCTGACGGGGGAAACCCTACACATACCAGGAAGCTACCCTGCAATAATTGCCAGGGTAACGTCTGGGGAAGGCCTCCTCCGTGTGAGTCCAGGCCTGTGTTGGGGTTCCTGCTGGCTTGAGCCACTGGGCATGGGCGTTTGTTCTGCCTGAGGCCTGTCTGGGGGTAGGTCTTATAGGTCACTGTTCGGTGGAGCTACAGGGCCTGGGCTTTAAGCCACAGGGATGTATAATTTTAGAAGAGAAGTCAAAACAACTTTGGGAGAGGAAACAGCAGGTGGAAAGTTGGGTTAGTTCCACTGCTATGATGTGGGTGGTTCAGAATCAGAGAAGGATCCAAGCCTGGGGCAGAATTCTTTTTTTTTTTTTTTTTTTTTAAAGCAAAAGGAGCCAGGCGTGATGGCACATGCCTGTAATCCCTGTGGCTCTGGAGGCTGAAACAGGAGAATCGGGAGTTCAAAGCCAGCCTCAGCAAAAGTGAGGTGTTCAGCAACTCAGTGGGACCCTGTCTCTAAATAAAATACAAAATAGGGCTGGGGACGTGGCTCAGTGGTTGAGTGCCCCCGAGTTCTATCCCTGGTACCCCCTCCACCAAAAAAAAAAAAAAAAAAAAGCAAATGAGTCCCTAACTCCTACTACAGACCAAGGCATGATTCTGCCCTCTTTCTACTACTCTATAACTTATTTTTAAGCAGAAGAGGGGAAAAAAAAAATCTCCAATTCCCAGTGCCTAGGCCAGAGTAGAGTAACCACCAACAGAACAGCTGTTAACACGGCTGACGCTGGTTCCTGTTAACTGCTTGAGTCAAGTTAAAGGCCTGGCAGGGAATAAATTCTGGCTGGCTTAGCAAGAAGAGAAATTTCAGAGGTAGCCACCACAGATGGTAGCAGATGTCATGGAGCTCTGAGCAGAATCCGCCAGGGACTCCACTGTCTCAGTTAAGCAAAAAAGCCAAGAAATATCCAGCCAAGCCAACTGCCAATTACATAGCCCAAGAATCCCAGGAAGCCAGGAAGGGTATAAAAGTTTCTTTAATTAAAATCTTCACTGCTTCATCCATAAATCTGTCAGCCATAGCTCTTCAAAGATCTAGAATGTCAGCTCAAATATCTTTGCCTGGCCCAGTGTGGCCAGCAGAAAGTACAAATGTACCATTTGTAACTACAGTATTGACTGCTATACTTGTAGGACTCAAAGTAATGCCTTCTAGATCCCAGGACAGTTATCTGCCTCGTGGGTGCTGGGAGCTACTTGAGAAGCTATTTACTCACTTCCTTCTATTACAGTGCAGGGTAGTGGTTACCAGTGTGGGCTTGAGTCACACAAGCTTGGGGCTGAATAAACAGCTCCACTGTTACCCAGTTACTTAACCACTCCGAACCCCATTTTCGTTATATTTTAAGCAGGGATAATAGTGCCTACCTTACTTGGAGGTTGAGATGATCACATCTGATATTGCATGTAAAGTACTAGTGCATGGTACCCAGGAAGTGCTCAAAGAATGTTAGGTGGCATTCCATATCTACAAATGCTAGAAGGGTACTGTTTGGTATTGCCATGATCCTTATGTGTCACACAGATTTCTGTATCTCACGGCCACACTTATTAGCAGGCAACTCTATATGTGGGTTTGCAGATAATCTGCAATCTTATGGTTACCAACTCATAAAAAAGTTATTATGAGATGCTGTTAGACTTTGTTACCTTGTCAAGTTGTGACTATGGACACTCTCAGATGTCCAAGGTAAGTTTTTCTCTTATATTAGGAGTCCATGTGTTACTCAAAATCGGAAAGTACTGCTTTATTCTAGAGCACTATCTTTCATTATTAGCTAGAAATCAACTATTAAACCTCCCTCCCCCCAACCCCAAGGGAAACCCAGACTTGATGTTTTCCCCCAAAGCAACATTTGGGAGTATGCTGGGCTTCACACACACACACACACACACACACACACACACACACACACACACAGCCAATCCAATCACTTCTATTTTCTGAATTTGCATCTTCAGGCATCAAATGACAATAGTGTCAAAATAACAGTTGTGTCCCATATGATTTCCAAAGATTCAAATATGCTCTATTTTCCAGGGCAGGGAATGGGCCAATGTCATTAAGAATGTTTCTGTCATACGAGAGTTTTAGTTATTTTGTTTGTACACAATGGGTGATTAATGGAGAAAACTGCTCAGGACGTCGACTTGCCTGGAAACAGAGGGCTAAAAAGGCAGGATGGTGAGCAGACAAAGGCAYAGAGCCCGGAAGCCCCGCTTCGCTGGCCATACCTTGGGGAAAGTGTGCTGGAGCTCCAATCATCCAGATAATGGTGACAACCTTAGACTGGTCCAGTTGAGTTCACATGCCATAAAATAAAGGTGCTTGGTAAAAACTAAAGTAGCACAAACAAGAACCCCACTGGTGACCTGCCCATTCTTGCCCTGCATGGTCATGGGCCACCTGAGCCAGCACTGCATCCTTCTTCTCTCCCGGATCCCTGCTCATGAGCTCTGCAGTAGTGCTCACCAGCACGTCCCCTTTCCACAGCCTAGGACTTGTTTCCTAGCATTCCAAGTCTGACTGTGAATAACCACCATCTTTCCCTTACCCCAGGGCTCAAGAAATGGACCAGACAGACGTCACAGCTTGCCAATGTCTATGGAACAGAGGACCTAAAATTAAAAACTGATTGGGRAGGACAGGGGTTAGGAATGAATAGAGCACAGAGAATTGTTGGGGCGGTGAAGCTATTCTATATGATGCCATTATACATCCGTCCAAAGCCACAGAACCTGTAACATCAAGGTGAACTCTTAACAAAACCATGGACTTTGGTTGGCTATGGGTGGATACTGGTTCATGGATTGTAACAATGTACTACTCTGGTAAGGAATGTTGATAACGGGGGAAGCTGTGCCTATGTGGGGGTAGGAGATAGAAATCTGTTCGATTTTGCTACAAAATCAAAAACAATATATGTTTTAGGCACCTTTGTCTAAAACTGCTTTAAAAAATAAAGTACATTACAACTGATTTTATACACACATACACATTTGCTACTAAGATGAATCCGGACGAATGTGAAAATTTAAGAAAGCTAACTCTTTATTTAACACCAAAGCTAATGTCAAGTGTTTATTTAAAAAAATAATGGCACCTGCTTTGAATTCATTGATGACACCACCACGGGGTGGAGATCTACAGAGAAATTACAATTGTAGGCTGACGTGACACTATGTAGTATTTCACAAAATGGAAATTCACAAACATCACAATCAACATTTCCAGTTTCTACTTTCAAAGCCGCTAAGTATTGCCTAAATGCATCTTAAACAGCACATTTTGTTGAAACATTTCTCTTATGACAAACATGGCAGACATGCTTTAAATAAATTAAAACTGCAACACATAAATCATTCCTAGAACAATCAAGGTACATTACTTTCCAGCTTTTTATAAACGGAATTGTATTGACTTCTACCTCTACCTTAGGGGTTACCAAGCTCCTGTTACCTGGAATTTTTTAAAGCTTCTTACTCACTTTTGTTGTGAATAGGCCAATCTTATTGTTTTCAGATTTATCTTTTAGAGACTCACTCCCTTCTAGTGTGTGTGCTTGGCCTTCTTACCTCTCCAGATAAGCCTGAAATTTGAAACAATGCCATGTCTTCACAACCCCAGCCCACTCCTCAAAATGAAAGGAACAAGCAAAATGCGGTTGTTTAATCACACATTTTGAGATTAGTATTTAAGTTGTTTCAAACCAATACAACTCTATCTGCATTTAATGTAAAAAAAAATAAATAAATYGTTCCCATTCAATGCAAAATAATTTGGTATTTAAAATTCAACCCAAAAGGACACATGTAATTAGTTGCCTGAGGGAAACTAGTTCCTTCTGTATTATTGAACCTATAATTAAACCTGATATGCTAGAAAAGTGACAGGGAAATAAATATACACTGGGGGCAAAATCTAAATGAAAGTAAGACTGACAAGGCAGGAGGAGGGCTAAAGCCAGGAGAATGCTGATCCACAGGATAATTACCAAGCATCTCTGGCCAAAGTGAAAGGGGTGTTTCAGAAGATTCCACCCTATCAGTGGGCTTTAGGGATCATGCCGGCCTGACGCCTGTGTCTGCTGTCCAAAATCAGCCCTGGAGTGCTTTAGGTGCTGCTTCAGTGTGTGTGTGTGTGTGTGTGTGTGTGTGTGTGTGTATGGTTTTTTTTGTTTGTTTCAAGAAAAGGTTTTGTTCTGGCTTAATCATACCCCAAAGAGGAGCTGAAGTAATTAAAAACCCACAAGAATTTTTAAAGTTTTTGTCTCTAATGAACCATCATTATCCTAGTTATCATGATGATAATAGGTCACTGAACAACCTGCCGCTAGAATCCCGCATCTTAAATGGCTCACTAAGGCTTATGCAGTGACAAGGTACTTCACCCAGCCAACAACCGGTGTTCGTTTTCAGACAGGCACAGGATTTTTACTGCCAAGGAAAGGTGCAAACAAGGGGCCAGTTGACTTAAATGTCAATTAAGTCTCCGATTCCAGAATATGTCACAGCCATATCACTATTTTTTAACTGTATATTTAAAAGATGTTATTTCATTAAGAGAACAAACAATAAGAGGCATGTTCCTTAAGAGGAGAATAAACCGCAGAGAGTACGGAAAAGCGTGAGAAAAAAGCTTCATGAACTTTCCATGAGACGTTAAAATAAATGTGCATGTAGGCAGAGCATGTCCAAGTGAAAACAAGGTTGTTTGACACTTAATGAGAGTCAATGGAAATATGAATTTTTAAAAGGAATTCATGATCAAGTCGGATGATTTAGGCCCTCCACTATTTCCAAATGGAGCCAGTTCTAGGAGGTTCTGTTAATGGCTCCAGACTGGAGGGGGCACAGCGTGCTGCTTCTCATTTTCTTCTCTCCTCTCTCTGGGGAGAAGACACACAGATTCTAGGTCTGAGATGTGTCAGTCACAGCAAGGGGCTGGCAGAGAGCGGTGTGTGCCCACACAGAATGGTGCTCTCTTCCTGGGTCCTTCCAGAGCTCTCAGCCTCAAGGTAGAAATCCCACTCATTCCCTCTGAACTACCAGCAGCATCGACACCCATCCCACCTGTGGCATGTCCAAAGAACCCCTCAGAAAGATCCCCAAGCAGTAAGATGAGCTCTGCTCCACTTAAGGATAAAGGCTGATGCAAGCACACCATTCTTTCTCCTTCCCTGCTCTCGACCCAGAACCCTTGTCTGTCTGCTGGATTCAATGGATCACAGTGTATACAGTCAGCTTGGGAGCCCTGGGGGTGTCTGGCACAGAGAGGGGACATAACCATGCCATGGGGTGGGACTAGTAACTCCCTTGTCTCTGATTACAAAATACTTTATAACCAAAGATTTCATGAAACAATGTTTATTGTTTTAAAAAAGCTTCAGTCTAGAATCTGGGATTGCAGTTGAACAGTTTGTGAATTTACTAAAAACTACTGAATCTTACATTTAAAAAAATAGATAGGTTGAGTCGTGTCTCACGCACATGTGCTAGACTTGGTAGTAAATGCTCAACTCTTCCATTCTTTCAAACCATGGCACTGTCACATTTTTTTCCAGGAGATTTCCCTAAAAACAATTGTTAGCAAAATATTGCACTTAATTTAAATCCAGGAGAGCTGACCTCTTCTGGAAGAAAATCTACATTAATCTGCATCTTTACACCGGCCTTGGGAAGGTGGGGGTGGTTACAGGAGGAGGAGGAGGGGCTGAATAGCAGTTCTCATTAAAATCGCCTATGTCTTCCTTTTTGTTTTACAGAGAAACATATTTAAAAAGAAAGTTATTATCTGAGCTGAAGATAGAATCCTCCAAACAGGACGAAGATATTAACTTGTGAATGCTTTCCTTCAGTGGCAGGGTGGCAATCTATTACCTTGGAACTTTTCTCAGTGAGATCCTAAGAGACAGATGGCAATCTTGGCTCAAATTCTAGATTTAATTTATTCTATTCTTGCTGGCCTTTCACATCCTTAAAAGGACCCTCTCAATCTCCATCCAGGTGAATGGGCTTCCACTCATCTGGTCACAATCCAAATAGACCAAATGTCATATCTTCCTCATGCTTTCAGTTTCAGTGTTCCTACCTCAGTGGATGTTAGCTTTGCAAACTACAATCTTGCTGTCCTTCTTCAAGAAAACACCCTGCAACACAAGCATCATTTGATTTTACTTCCTGAGTAAGTATTGCCATCTTCACAGACCTGAGTAAAACCGATCCCACAAAAATCCCTTCCTCAAAGGGGATTTGTCACAATTAAGATTTGCCAAAACACAAAACTCTGGAGTGGTTTTCACAGGGCCCAGAATTAACAAAGCCAGTTTGTTGAGGAAATGGAAATATTTCTGCATACTCCAAAGGTTATTTGCTAAGGAATTAAGACAAAATCAGGTGGTGGTTCCCTGGGAATCATCCTAGTGTCTTACCATTTAAAGTGCAACAAAACTTGTAAGAGAGACYGGTTGGATAAACAGGTGTAAGATTTCCACATTATGAGGTCACGTATGATTGACTACTGAACACTGAGTACATAGGGACATATGCTCATCTGTGCCAAGTGGGACAGATTATACAGAGATCTGCTATACTTCCACAGGCCACAAGTGTTCAGCATGGCCAATGCCTATATTTCTTCTCCTCCTCAAATCATGTCATATCCTTGCTGTTTACAGGACACCACAACCACCGCAAAGCTCAACTGTGACAAAAGATTTTAAGGGAAAATAGAGACGGAGGCCCCTTTTCCTCTGGGTTGCTAATAATGCCAAGGGCTCAAGAAATAGGGGTTCACCATGCTGGGCTCGTCAGGTGGGCAGGGAATCTGGTCTGATTAAGGCAGTGAGCCATGTGGGGAGAGCTCTGAAACAGATTCATGTTAACCAAGTACAGGGACTGAGTTGGCAACTGCTACCGAATTAAGAGAATTGTAGTTATTTACACCACACAGTTCCAGTCCTTATAATCTTCAGTCAGCACAACTGTTCATTTAAAAATTTGGTAGTTTGCACAGTTTTCATTAAAATAAAAACTTGGGAAAACGTGAAGGCAGGAACCAGTGGCTTCATCTTGGTATTATTATCCTTTCTATGGCACACAGAATGTGGTCCCAGTTTTTGCAGAATATTGCAAGAATCGTCACAGCAAAGAAGGTGCCAAGAATGTGGAAGCGGCTCTTCATCATGGGTGAGACGAACTTGGCGATGGTGGACACGCACACCAGGATGACAGTCATGAAGGCCAGGACCACGTTGATGCACTTCCCCAGGAGCACCCTGGCGTTCACCGCGTCTGTCTGCAGGGTTTGCTGCTCTTGCTGGTGGAGCTCCAGCTTAGAAATGCGAGTCTGGCAGGATTCCAAGGCTTCCTGTGGGCAAGAGGACAGCGAGGATCAAACGCTGCTGAGATCACGGGCAAAACGTGTGCGCACATGCAGACGTGCACACCCCAGCTCAGAACCTCTTAGCGCCTGGGATGCCTCAAATCCCCACGCCAACAATGAGGATGATGACAGACAAAGCCGAAAAACAAGAATCCCCAGGCTTGTTTTATCCTGCTTTTCATGCATTGAATGAGCATGTGCATACAACTAGAAAACACCATAAATGAAGAACTGTGGTTAAGTTTTTGGACTACACCTGTATTTGAAAGTAAAGTGATTTGAAATTTGGCATCTGTTGGTATCATCAGGGACAAACCAGGGGTGGGAGAGGACTGCATTTTGTGATGGCAGACTGCTTCATTTCTGGCACCTGCGATCCCCCACTACTAGTTCTCACGTCCACTGCTTAGTCTATACAGTGACTTTGGAGAAAAGTGGCAGGAGGGCGGCAGAAGGAGACAGGCAGGACAGAGAGCGGGGCAGCTCTGCTCCCACCAGCTCTCTGAATGCTGTGCTCCTCAAGCCACCACCCTAAGCTACCTTCCTAGATGTTGTGCATTCCAAGGTCCAATACCTAAGACACGAGGACTCTGAGTGCACCTCCAGCTGGCAGTCCCCTCCGACACTGTCAGCTCCATCAGAGCTTCCTGAAAGCTCCTCCAATGCAACAGGTCAAGGTGCATTCATATACTGCACCTGCCCAGTGCCTGCACTCAACCCTCCCCCCTCCAGCACTTCTTCTCAGACTGTGAGGCACCATGATCCTCACACCAGAAGCTTGAGAGGCACCAACAYCCTCTCATCTAATCCATTACCTGCTCCATCAATGAAACATCCATGTCTATCTCAATAGTCCATCTCTCTCCTTCCAGTTGCCACCCAATCTATGTCACCAAGATCTCCCACCTGCAATGACTATATACAAATCTCCCCACATTCACTCTCGTTTCCCAACCCCATGAATCTATCTTCCTTGTATCAGCCCAAGTGATCTCCTGAAGATCATATCTGTGACACTACTCTTCCTAATACCATTCAAATCTTCACCACAGGCCTTGGGCATCTACGTGCATAGCCAGGTTTGGTCATCCCCTCCTGCCCCACTTAATGCCAGTCACCCCTCCCCCATGCTCTGGGCAAACTGGCTTTTCCCAAGTTCTGAGAAGGAGAATATACTTAACATCCAGGCCTTTATAAAATCTGTACACTCTGCTTGTAGTATGTGTCTTCCCAACTCCTACCTCTCTCTACTTGTTGATCTCCCACTGGTCTTTTACATCACACCTTGAATGTCACATCCTGAAGGGAGATGTCCCTCCAACCAGGGGACATGAGCTGCCTGCAGACAGGGCCTAGGCCCACCACTCCAGCACAGAACCAGTGCTCCACACAGCATGTCACCTGCTATGCACTGGCTGAATATAAAAACCCTGGGTGCCAGGAACAGAATGTGAGGTCCGGGAAAGAAAAGCCAGTGAGTCCCTTGGGAGAAACGGACGTCACTATAGAGTAAGGCCCCTTTAGTTCACTAGCCTGATGTCTACATCATTTGCCAGTATCTTTATGCGATTAAAATAGTCATCTTTGCAGGTTTTAAGCAAGCATAATGGCTTCAACGTTGATTTGCTTTTCTTCTGCTGAATATACGCTATGGGCTAAAGAACAGGGTTCTGTTACTATAGTAACTTTCATCATACTAGGCTACCAACCAAAAGGATAAAGCTTCCTCAGATCTTCACATGCTAAATAGCGCTGGCTTTCCGCARTAGCAGGCACGTGCCCAGGAAGCAGGCATGCTTTCCAACAGCAGGCCCAAGGCTTCCCGCACTACAGACATGGTATAAAAAAGGTGACAGAATGAGGTGGAAAAAAAAAATCAAAATTTCAGGCACAATCATTCATCTTTGCCTGGGTTGATTAGCTGCTTGTACAAATGAATTTTAGAATTGCCTGGAACCACTGTCAATTTTTTTTTTTTTTAACTAAAAGAAAACCCCAGAAAATTAAGTAGTGAATTGCAAGGAATTTTGATTACAGCACCTAGAGATATTAAGCCTCACAATTTTTAGTATTTCTTTGGATCCAGTATTAAACTTACTGGGGATGAGAACACAGGGGTTATCTTTAGATAGTCTTAATTGGGAATTCAGGGCTAAAAGGACAGGGGGACTCTCAATTGCTTAAAACAATAAAACACTGTGTCCCTGAAGGTAACAGCCACCCTCATCCATCCCAGCTCACCCCTGTYACACGCCTGCTTAGAAGAACCGGGAAACAGGAACAGGTGAAGTTGGCAGGCCCAACTGCTGCAAGCCCTGAGGACTGTGGCTACTCAACAAGAAAATAAAGTCAGCCAGACGTCTATGCTTTAAATGTATCATCCAGTTTGATCTTCTTGGCCTTTTCAAATATAGCTCATTAATATTCCCATTTTATAGATGAGGAAACTGAGGCACAGAACATTAACATCCAGGGTCACTCAGACAGTAAACAGTGGAGCCGGGATTTGGCGCCCTGCAGTTATTTACACAGGTGTTCTTTTTACAATTTCAAGCTAGAGCTGAAAACCAGAAAATGCTGAAATGAACGCTTCTGAATATCTCAGTTCCCTCTGTGAAGTCCCTCCCTTCATCTTTACCCCTAGCATGTTTCTTAGAAAAGAGAACAACATTAACTCAAACCATCCCCTAAACAAGGAAACTGAATGTTCAAGGTACAACCCGGTGATACTCCAGGCCTGTTCTAAAATAGAATGACCTAGTAAATGACTGTATCTTCCACTAGGCAACATTTAACAGTTAAAATGGGTTCAGGCTTCTCAAACCAGAGGGTGGTGAAGGTTCTCCTAACCTAAGGCAGAGCCAGCAAACCTCCCCCCCCCCCCACCGTGTCTTTGGCACTGTGCTCTCTGATGCTTTGGTTCTCAGAACACCTGGGACTGCACAGGCTCAGCCCTCCACACAGGGTAGAATAAAACCTGTGCAGTTGAAACTGCAGCTCGCACACTGCAGGAGAAATCACTATCTTCACATTTCAATTTTCTCCCTTGTAAAGTGAGGTTCACTCACGACTGCTGGTGGCCACTGTCTCCAAAGAAGAACATTACTGTAAGGCTACATTTTTTTTTAAAGAAAGGTGATCAAGAAGCCGAGGGCTGTTTCAGGACAGTGGTGGTATCACGTTAGGAAATCCTGGATGGGCCTTTGTTCATACAGATCCAGTKATCCCTTTCTTCTATCCACTGGGACCCTACCTGGCCCTTCCAGTCCCACYGTCCTCAGGAGTTTAATTCACATTCATGACTCAGGACAATGTGCAAGACCTTACTCAGGCACTTCACTTCTCTGTGYCTCAGTCTCTATATTTAAGAAGTGGAGCCAATAATAGGAACAACCTTAACAGGCTGTTGAGTAAATGGGGGGAAAAGGAGACGTGTAAAGAAGGGCTTTGCTAGTGTTGTCACACAGGGTGCTCTTGAATGCCTGAAATTCTTACAAGCATGAAAGATACCCTACAGAGGAGCAAACAGGCTTGCTCAGGACCACACAGCTGGTAACGGCCRACCTGGGACTGAAGCCTGAGGTTTACCACTGAGTCACCCACCTGCTCCCCCCGCTGCATTTCTATGGCCTTAGGGTCTGTGCCACTCATCCTGGCCCTTGCTCACACGTCTTGGGCCCCTTGGCGTTGGGTTATTCACCATCTCAGCATAAAGCTTCTTGAAGGCAAGGTCTGTCTTMTACTTTAAATTTCCTTACCCTGTTAGTGGGGACTGAACTCACCGAGCTAAATTTTTACCAGAGCTAAATTCCCAGTTCTTTTAATTTTTTGAGACAGGGTCTCACTAAATTGCAGAGGCTCTGGCCTTGAATGTGCAATCTGCCTGCCTCAGGCTCCCGAGTTTCTGGAATTACAGGTGTGTGCCACCATACCTGGCTTCATATTTTAATTTTTTTAAAAAAATCATTTTATTATCTTGAGGTAGATAATAAATACTTGTTAACTGAGTTAGGCAGAAAGTGTACAGGATACAGACTTAGCAATGTCTATAACATGCGCTAATGGGGTCAGCAGGTGGAGAAGAAATGTTGTGCAGAGAAAAGATTTTGTCCCCCACACCAGGAATCCCGTAAGCTTTAGGATAATTAGGTCCTCAACACTGAGCCCAGGGGAATTCAGGGGCATGCATGTCTAGCCAGGGGAGGGAAGGCACCTGGATGTCCCTGGAGCGCTCATAGGCCTGGTAGGCCACCTTCTCCTCGGCGCTGGCCAACTCCTGCTTCAGGTTGGCCGTCTCATGCTGGTGCAGGTCCGTCAGGTCATGCAACTGGTCTTCCAGGCGCTCGTACCTTGACAGAGATGGGAACCCATTCTGAGCGAGGCATTTCACAGGTCTTCTAGCAGCACATTCTAGAATGACGTCCTTTCAATCTTACTGCTGCCAGGGCCCCTTGGCTTGTTTCCACCCCTTGGGAGACCATTTTTCCAAAAATTGTAAATTCCAGCTCTGGAAAGAACTGGTCAAGGGTCTTAATTGGTCATCACCTTCGAGGTTTCACCCAATCCCAAATCTGGCTTCTCCACCCATGTCACACTAGCACCTGAACTGGTGGCAGGGACAAAGGACAGAACTCATGGGCCCACACATTCACCAGGGCTGTGCAGGACCCTGCCCAAGGCAAGGACCCAGCACATTTGCAGTGGCTTCTCTGTCTTCTGGCCCCACAGTACCTGAGGGTTTATGGCCAGAGCCCACAAGGAAAGAGAGGCCGTTACTAACAGCCTCTACTCTGCAGCTAAATTCATCCCTGCCCAGAGTATATACTCATATGGATACGCTTTGTGGCTCTTGGAACTTAAAGGTCAATAAAAAAAAATTAAACCTGTCACAAAGTACAGATTGGCTTAACAGGTGTCATTTACCAAAAGTCCAAATCTAAAGTAAGAGGACCACCAAGATTCCTGTTCCCATGCTCCGCCCTGTGCAGAGAGGACTTGTCTGTAGTTTGAAACCTTATGTCTGCTTTAAACAGGATGCACTGTTTGGGGAAGATGACTTAGCTTGGGATGACTGTGATCAATGCCAGTTCTAGACGTTTATGTGGGTCACCTGAGAGAAGAGTTTTTTTTAAAAGGAGACAAAAAAGTATGATTCAGATTTAATGATTTTCCAGGTATGGCTATACAGGTGCCAAATGTTGCAATTATTGTAAATAATCCTTTTAAAGGTCTCTTAAGTAATACACAAAGTGATTATATCATAGGTACCACAAACTTTTTTTTTTTGGACACCAGGGATTGAAATCAGGGGTGCTTAATCACTAAGCCACATCCCCAACCCATTTTATTTTTATTTTGAGACAGGATCTTGCTAAGTTGCTCAGAGCCTTGCTAAGTTGCTAAGGCTATCATCAAACTTGTGATCCTCTTGYCTCAGCCTCCTGAGTTGCTGGGATTATAGGAGTGCACCACTGTGCCCAACTTACGATTACTTTTGAAAACTATTTATGGTGAAAAAAATTTAATGAATAAAATACAGCACATAAAAATACATGAAGACTTCAAGACCAACATACCAAATAAAACCTATCTTGTTGTACAATGATTAATTTTTTATATGACTGTTATAATAGAGGAAAATCAAATATATATCTCTGAATTAGTGCTAATAAAACGATAACAGAAGTCTTCTGAATAAGTATCTTAATAGGTGCATGAGTCAGACTGTACAGTGATATTTTAAGAGACCCACGCATGTAATGACTTTCTCCAATTGTTACAAATCATGAAAATTGGAATTATGAAAGATGGAAAGAACTATTGATCCCTAAATGCCTTCTGATCTATATCCGTATTTATTGAAAACACGTCACTTTCAAGTAGACAAACTTTGAAGTTAGTAACTCGCACTTCCAAAGAATTCCAGCAGAATGCTTTGACATACCTGTACCTTTCCTCTTGCAGGGTCTGAGAAATGAAACCATATTCCCTCTTAAACTGCACCTTTAGTGCCTCGATGTCCTCTGCCAGCTGGGCCTGGGTGTCCTTGATCTCCCTCAGCTCCTCCAGGATCATGCTGAGCTTGCCCTGGCTGTCCAGCGTGCCAGACCCACCAGCCCCGAAGGACTGGTTCCCATTGCTGTCAGCCGAACCTGATGTGCCGCTGGAACACTCGTCATCGCTGCCGTACTTGGACTTGTTCACGATGGTAGCGCTGCCCCCGTAGACCCTTGAACTGGCCTCAGGCCTAAACTCCTCTAAGGAATTTTTTAAGTGCGCGATGTTGTCGGCGCTGCCAAACTTATTTCGGATCAAGTTGGCAAACTCTCTGGACTTATTGAAAACGAACACAGGTGGAGTGAGGGATACCCCTGGCATGCCCGACTTACTGCTCTCCAAGCCATGGGGGGCAGTTCGAGACTTCACATGGGCTTCTTTCAGAGAGTGATGTATGTCCTTCAGGTTGTCTTTGGAAATATCCTTTGAGCCTCTGGAGGCTCCATTCTGTTCGATCTCTCGAAGCTTTCTGTGATACTGCTCTAACTTCTTCTGCAGCTGAGCAATGGAGTGAGCCGACTTCTGGTTCTTCTTCTCAAAGACCTGCTTGATGCGCCCCGCCTGCTGCTTGTCGGCGCTGCTGACTAGCTTCAAATATTCTGCGACATTCCCATCACGGGATGTTTGCTCAATTTTGATCTGTTCTGTTACCTTCAGAATTTTCTGTCTCAGGTTGTCTGCACTGAGTTTGACCTTGTGGAAGTCCAGGATGCCATCTGGGACGTCAAAGTTGAGGTTGGTGTCCGACCCCCCACGGCGTATGTTCAGGGGCAGGCTTAAGGTATTCATGTCATGACGTTCTACCTGAAAGAGAYGGAGGCAAAGCACTTTAAACCTTCATGTCAAGGAGGCAGTTACTGTGACAGGATCTGTGCACACACGACAAACATACTTTAAGTTCCAGATTTCCAAAGTGCAGGTTTTATGGGATCAACACTCTGTACCGTCCAGGTTGAAGGCAGGACAGCCCAACTCTTTCCGACACCCCACGTATACTAAATAGACACGAGAATCGTGTCTGCAGGGCATCCCATTTGCTGTCAGAAAATGCAGAATGGAATAAGGTCACCAGTCTGTCCTGGTTTCCAGGTGACTGGGAGGCCTGTCACGCCCTGTCTCCGTTATGGGAAACRCATCTAATTTAGAAATTACTTGTTGGCCAAGAGAAGGAAGAAGGAGAAAAGGAAGTAAAGATCCAGAAGGTACATCCATCAGCACAAGAAAATTATTTTTTTTAATAAATAGATGTGACTGGAAAACACAATGCAAGGTAAACTTTAATCACGAGTAACACAGCAGAATCTAGAAACAGAAACAAGTAACTCCAAACCATAATCAGTGATTTTTTTTTTTTTTT